GCAGCACTCTCCTTCCCCGAGACCACAACAGCTCCTATCCATGACCTGACACCTGCTATGCTCAGCACAGAAAAGTCACTGCAGAGAGTCACAACTTCTCTGCTAGTGCCAGCACAGGGACACTGAACCCTCATCTTTGCCTCTCACCAAGAACAGTCTGATCTTGAAGCCACTGTGCTGTGTGTAAGGGGACAAGAGGAGAGGACGCAGGTTTTACAGGAAGGGCATATAGGTAACCAGGCTGCTCAGCTGCTTGGACCCCTGGAGAGAAGGGCCAGGGTAGGCAGCGAGGCCCCGGAAGGGAGGACGAGCAGCCCGTGCAGACCTGACTCAGAAGGGGTTGTTAGTATTGCCAGCGGCCCTAATCTCAGCAACCTTCGGAGTTTCATTATTCAGCGGTTGCGAGTTGGCTAATACTGTGGGCTGGAGGAGGGGAGATAACAGGAAGGTAAATGAGACCTGCTGTCACCATGGAGGAACCTTTAGTACTCAAGGTGGAATGAAGCAGCTGCCGCTTGCCTTGGACTTTAGAGCGATTTACCAAAAAGGAAGCGTTTGGTTTGTCCTGGGGGCAGAACAAAGGGGGTGACATCTCAGAGAGAGCAGGGCAGCAGGAGCACAGGGAGGGCAGGGGACTGGGCATGCAGAGCTGCAGCGGGGCAGGCCCCTATGGTGCAGGTCTGTGGGGCGCTGGGCAGGCAGAGGCACAGGCAGCACCAGCCATCAGCAGGGTACCTGCTGAAACGACATGTTTGGGAGCAGCAAGATTTCCTACAGACTATATCCTCTCCCCAGCCTCCTACAACTGTCCCCACAGCAATACCTGTCCTCTGTCACTTCAGCCTGCCCATCCACAACTGCCCATCAGCCTTTTTCCCCCCAGCTTCATCCCACGTTCGTAGTGACTGCCTGGGCAAGATGCTTGTGAGCACAGTGGCGATTTCAACCCCTCTCCTTCCCTAAGCATTGGTTTTCATAGACACAGACTCCATGCTTTGGAGAGATCCCACCAACTCAGTTTCAGTCTGTATGCATCCTGTTCCTTCCAGAATGCGGGCTGCACGCTGCGCCCCTCCAGCCTGCACAGGGTTGTCTGTAATGCTCCCCCACAGATGCAGCCAGAGGGAAGCACGTCCCACCCCTTCCAGGCCAGCAAGTGAGGGTGCCAGGAAAAACAGCTGCTGCAGGGCTGGGACCCGAGCTCCCTGTCAGGGCGAGAGGGCAGATGGGCTACCCTTAGCCAAAGGGGGGCCACAAGGGGATTTTAAAATCAGCCTTAAAGTTGTTGGGGTTTTTCTGGTTTGTTTTTAAATAATGTGTACGTATCTGTCCTCCCGCTCCTGCCAGCTCTGCTCCCCAGGCCCCATGCTAACAGCAAACAGGGAGCGGCAAGCCAGGCACCTCAGCCCCACGGACCTGCGGGGAGCCAGGCACCTCAGCCCATCACCTCAGCCCCACAGTGGCCCTGGTCCCTCAGCCCTGCAGCTTTAGTCCCTCAGCCCGGGGCCCCAGGGCACTCCCCAGCCAGGGCTGCCTCTCTGCAGCAGCTCAGGAGGGCCACGGCTGCTCTGTGGGGCCCATTGGTGGCAGTGTGCGCCCCAGGGGCGCAGTGTCTAGAGGAGGAGACCCCCATGCACACCACGGCATTGCCCCAGCACACAGGATGAGGCCATTTGCCCACCAGGCAGCCCATCCCCAGGCCCACACTGTGGCAGCACCACGCTGTGTGTGACAACCTCCCTTTAGGTCCATACCATGCTCCAAACTCAGAGCAGAAAGGGACTTGCCCTTCTTAACATAGGGACTGAAAACCCTGGTAGTGGGCAAAACGTGGCTGGTACCGCAGTGTGCCCAAGGCAAGGTTTGGCGAGGCTGATATTCAGAGCTCATTTCAGGGAGTCTCAGGACTCACCAAGACCTGGAGAAGTCATTGCTCTTGGGCGCATCCTGAGGTTGGAGCTCTCCCTGCCCCTGTCCCCTCTGCCCTGGCCCTGCACTCTGGGCAGGGGAAAGAGCATCTCCACAGAGCACCGCAAATGCCTTCCTGCTCCCTCTGAGAGCATCGTGTGTCTTACTGGAGAAATGCTTTACCTAGAAAGGAAAACAAACGAGCACATCGTCAGCCCTGTTCTCATCCTCTGCTGAACAACTCATTAATCACTGGCTGAAGGAGGAAAATATTGTAATGGTGCCCACATCCCTCCAAGGGTCTTGCTGGACCCTTCCAGGACCATTTGTCTGTGCTGGTCTCTAGCACAGACATTGCAAACTGCAAGTGGAGGGGATACAGGGATGATCCTAAACCAGCGAGACCAGGTGTCTGTGCCAAGAAGAATGAACACGAACCATCTTTACCGTCTTGCTGCTGAATCAGGACCTGACTGCTTTTTCTCCAGGCACAAAGCAAAAATTATGCCTTCTACGTTCTTTCATTTCATCCAAGAGACACCGATAATAGCTTATTTTGCCACTATGAAGGTCAGGACTCACCTGTGATTGCCACATCCATCTTCAGCTGAGCATGAAGCACTTGGCTGTTCTGGCTGTGAGACTCTCCTCCTGATTTTTCAGCAGCTAGTGAGGTCTGAAAACAACCAACTTGATGGATTACTCCCTTAAATCAGGATGTTAGGGTTACACTAGCATTTGCTGACAAATATCTCCTCCTTACAAAATCTCTCTGGGTATCTCAAGGCAGGGAACAGCCTGAACAGCAAATCCCTTGATAGCTTCCTTCAGCTGCCTGGCCAGGCTGGACTTCAATGTTTTGCCCAGCATTTGGTCCTGAGGGGCTTAAGATGAGGAGGCACATCCAGGCTGTGGGAATAGAGCCTTCAAAGTCAGGCTCTCCAACACAGCGCTAAAAGGCTGCGGTAAGTATGGGCAATGTCTGCCCAAAGCCTGCTTGCCTGGGGCAGAGAAATAACAATGGACCACTCAAAACAGCAAGGAGCCCGAAGACCACCTGTTAACCAGAAATACATTCACTTTCCCCTGCCAGTGTACCAGTACTGCAGTGTCTGAGACCTCCTGCATCGCCAGCAGCTGTTCTAGCCAGCTGGCAGTTTTCCAGTCTCTTGGCACAGCTACAGCAGCCTGGAGTTATTAAAATGCACCAGGGAAACTCGCTTCCCATTAGAAACTCAACTTCAGTTCTCCTCTAAGGCCATGCCAACAAGGCAGTTGCCTGAAGTATATCTTCTTCCAAAGAACAGGCTTCCTCAGCAATGCTGTGCTTCTACACATCAGCATCGCTCTTCAGCGTGCTTGCTGGGCAGGTCCTGCTGTGCTTGCAGCTGTCTTCTGGTATCTCTCCCCAGTGATGGCTTGCAGCAAGCAGACAGACCACAACAGGCCCCTGGTGAAACACAGCTAGCAGAAGAGCCAGTGTGACCCACCAAGTCCCTTCCCCATCTCAGACGTGCCTATAAGGATGGGCAAGCAATAAATGATAACAAGAGCACTGAGTTGATGCTCACGTAGAGTCAGGAACGCCTATTATTTCTGCTTTGCTTTTGTTTTCCTGTTAGCTAGAAAACAAGATGCGGGAGAGAGATTAACTGTGGTGTCTTGGACTTTATCTAGCTGAGAAAGAGTTCACAAAGGTGCATTTTACGAATGATTAAGCTTTGTTTTTCAGAGAGGAGGGGGGCAGGTTTCCTACAAGGGTGTATCTTGAAGGCAGTTCAATGTTTTGTTGATCACAGTTCTCATGTGAGGGTTGTTTTTTTTTTCTCAGGACAGCTTTCTAAGACATTATAATAGCTGTAACTTCAGCTTAATGGAAGGTTTTCTCTGGAAACTCAGTTATCTCCATGTTCCCAGACAGTCTCCTACTCTGACTTGCCACCTTATCCCATTAACTGACAATGTGCTGCAGGAACATAACTTATCATCAGTATTACAAGCAAGCCATTAAAATTTGACCCCATCCTGCAAAATCCACCTTGGATTTTGAACTTTCCTCTGCCTCCTACCCCAGTTCAGGAACATTTGAATTCTGAGTCCCGATTCTCACCCCCTTCCAAAAGAGCAATTAGGCTGTGAATTGCACCAAGACCTGGGTGCAGCCCTCCTCTCATTATATTGCTTGGGAGCCTTGGGTTATAGATTCAGCCCATATATAGACATAATTCCTTCTCTCTATAGCATAACCACCAAAATAATATAACATGCAATATGTCATGAACTCAGAAATTACCTTGCATCGGCACACCTCAACAGACTTAACTTGTGTTTTGGTGCGAAGATAATCCTATAATGATGGTGTGCTGCAACCAACTGATTTGTGCTCTTTGTCTACTGTTAACTCAGCTCTACCTGCACAAAATAACAATACTTTCTGCACCTGAAAATTACATCTGGAGCATGAAGCAGATCTGACCTATTCAAAAAGGGCCAAAAAGGTAGAAACACAGTAGTAACTGCTGTACTGAGAAATACCTTCCCACACAAATGCCATCACCCGGTGGTAAGGTCAACTCGAGAGCTTTATCTTGGCTTGCAGACAGCTAAATCCTTGGTGCATACTGCATTTCTGTAGGGTTGGAGAAAATTGGCTATTGGCGCCTCACAGCTGGACAGGATTTCAGTTTGTTGGCTATTTAAACAAAACCGCTCTGGCAATTTTTAATTTAGAAGGTGCTGGGAACATTCCTACGTAAGACCTTTTGAGGCATTTGGCTGTGAGGTCTTCTCAAGAACACAGTACATTTATGGCTATATTAACCACTGGTACTTTAGGTACCTCGACAGAAGAAAGGGGAAAAGTGTCTTAAATTATTATCACTGCTGACAAGAAGAAAACAGTAGAAATCGAGTTTAAAAGAACCCAACCCTGCCTGAAGGGCTAAATTAGATCTATTTTATGTCTATATAAATTCTCTAGCGGTACTCAGGGAAGCAGTAACTTAACCCTAGAGGTGATGGACTTACAGAAGGCTCAACTCACACGTGTTTTTGTTGGAGCATTCACACAGCTTATAAAGTTTTCCCAGAGCAGCGTTCAAATGTCTTGTTTTAATGCCTCACTCTGCATTTGAGATCTCCCTTTTATAAACCCAGCTGGGACAGAAACAGAACAAGCACTGAACACACATCAAGGGACAATACAGAGAAACCCAACTGCATGAGGGGCGGTCTCCACGACTTCTCCAGGGGAGAATCCTCTCCCACCTTTAAACAAGCTCCTTGCACAGCCGGGTCAAGGCACAGAAGCAGCCTGGTGACTCGTCCTTCCCAAACAGGAGGTGTTAGGTTAGATGGAGATTGGGAGTTGAGGTAGGTATGAGAGAAAGAGGATGAGACAGGGCAGGGAATAGACAGATCTCCTTTCCACATGGACAGTTTCCACCCCAACCCTGGGCGCCCATGCCTCACACCCAGAGCACTCTGTCAGCCATACACAAAGCCCCAGGATGGGCTGGCAGGCAGACAGGAGGGCTTGCACACCTTCAAAGCACAGTAAAACAGATTAAATTGCTGCTGAAGCTTCTGTTAGCTGACTGTCTGCTGGACTTTTTCTACATTGGGTAAATAATTATTCACGGAGGAAATTCTCGCTCCTCTATACATATTAAGAAGCATACTAAGGGGAAGGCAGAGATAAAGGGATAACAACTACTTGCAAAACATGGCAGTGCATCACCACATGCAGAAAATGGACCAAGACAACCTCCTACTCAGAGCAAGATCAGACATGCAAGGCCTAGCACAGTTTTGCAGAGATCCACAGCTCACTGACACTCTGAGAGTGAACTGAGGGTGGAAAGAAATCCTCTTGCTAAGCTAGTAGTTTAGCTAGTTTCGTGAAGGAGTTAAAACACATCTGGGTGATCCCAGCTGTGCAGAGCTCTCAGGAAGCATGTGAAAAAGCTCCTAGGAGATTTGGGAGGTCTGAGGCACTAGCTCTAGCATGGGGGGTTGCTCAACTGCAAAACCCCATGCTGCAAAGAGGGACTTGCCCATTTGTAAGAGCTGGGGAGAGTCCCAGACCTAGGGACTGGACTCAGACCGGTTTAAACATTTGAGAAGCGCTGAGGACCCAGTTCACACACAACACTGCTCCCGTGGCCAGGCCAGAGGAGGTATGAGCTAAGTCAGGCTCTAGAGGCTCGACAGAACTGATCTGAGAGCAGGGCCAGTGTTTCAGCCAGCTCTAGTACCTATCCTTTACGCCCTGCATCTCCTGGAGGAAAATGAAGTGTTTGGGGATGCAGACCGGATGGGAGCTGCCTGACACTCCTTGCTTTTTGGTGCTACTCTTGGGAAGATCGTCTTTCCTAACATTTTTCCTTTCTTTCTCAGGGAAGGCTCCAATGCCACGACCTCACTACAAACCCCAAGAACCCAACGGCTGTAGCTCCTATTTTCTGGGGCTCAAGGTACCCGAAAGTGTATGTACTGCCACACCCACCATTCCCAAATGATGCAATTCTCTAATCACAGTAACCAGCTAATAATATTGGGGAGGGAAAAGGCTTAGCTGTGCTATGCACCAACTGTGTGATGGCTTCTCTTCAGAGTGGAACCCAGAGCTCTGGAAAAGGGAGGAAATATCACTTATGTAGTATTAGGGGACAAGCTATCTGCCTGGGACTGCCAAAAGACATGGTTGCCTGCTGACAGCAAGGTGAACATGTCAGTCTGAGCACTGCCTAACTTACTGTCAGTCAGGAAGGCATTAAGATCTCAGCCGCTGGTAGCAGCGAAATAGGAATCACATAGACAAGAGTTACGTTTACGAAGGACTGGCCTGTTGCTCTGGTTGTCTTGGTAGGTACCAAAAGAGAAAGTTTACTGAGCAGGTTAGCACTAGAAGAAGAAAAGGGGGTACCTGGCCGAGCAGAGCACCAGTGTGGAGAAACACATTTTTATCAAGGCCCTGATCAATCCCGTGGCCTTGTGATAGGACTGGGAACACGTTCAATGCCGGGCAGCTCAGTGACATAGTATAATGTGCAAACAGCAGTACTTGAATGCATTCTCCACACCTGGCCCTTCATCCCCTCCCATGCTTTTGGCCTCTGCCAAGCACTGAAATAAACCTGCAGGCTTTAATACTGCACCCACTTGTTATTTTAAAGGCAATTAATGAAATCATATTAGAATCACCAGGAGAAGCACTCCCAGGAAGCTTTAAGAGCAGGAATTACTGTTCAGCTTATGCTTTACTGCTGCCCATGAAGTCTGCAGCAATTAGGCAGATTCCTGCTCTGAAAAACCCTCTCTTTAAAGCCCATTTTTCATGTTAGATCAGTTCCTTAAATGACATTTCATTGCAAACCTTGTGGGCATTTCTGCAGTACCTCCTCCTTATGCAGGTGGTCATGAGCGCTGAGCACAACGGAGAAAAAACTCATCCCTAAATATTACATGAGGAAGGCCAGAAAGAGGAAGAATTTATAACAAGCTAATGAGTCCAGTCTCTCCAGGAGACAGGCCTTCTGCCCCATCACCCCCATGGTTATTATCTAAGCTTGCTGTTTACCTCCAAGCGAGCAGAACTCCCCTGATCAAGCTGTATTTGTCCTTGGCCTTGCAAGCACATCTGTGAGAAATAAGGCATTAATAACACTTATAGCAGATTTATTAGGCCAAGGAGCAGGACTTGTCAGGTTGTGGGAAAATGAGGAAAGAGAAAATGGGCCTTTGCCACTGCTAGTGAGGACAGAAAGCTTTCCGGTGAGCTCTGACAAATGAGAACTAGCAAATGGTCATGGAGGGGGCACCCACCTCTCTACCAGAAGTTAATCCCCTGTGACAGACAGAGGAGAAGGGAATGTGGTCTATCCTGCATTGGACCTGCATTACTGTCACCACTTTCTTTACGTGGTGAGGGAGAAGCATGTTCTCCCTCCTGCTGTCCAGCTATCGGGGGTAGCTTCTGGAGAAGCAGCCAGCTGGGCTCTGCAAAACCTCACCCAGCTGCAGCTGTTTGAGTCTGAGGCCAGGAGGCAGCCAAGGGACACTTCTCTTCTCTTTTTCCCCAGCTAGATTTGGGCATCCCTGCCATGACCAAGTGCTGTAACCAGCTGGACATTTGTTACGACACCTGCGGGGCCAACAAATACCGCTGCGATGCCAAGTTCCGCTGGTGCCTCCACTCCATCTGCTCCGACCTCAAGCGCAGCCTCGGGTTCGTCTCCAAGGTGGAAGGTAGGCTTCCCAGCTTGCATCCCCTGTGGAGGGAACAAGCGATGGCAGGGAGGGGAGGGTGTGGGCAGGGAGCCCTTTACTTGCCAAAAGAAACAAAAATCTGCAGTAGGGAGCAGCACATCTGTCCTGTGCTTGTCACAGATGGGTCAGAGCTGAGTGAGAACACATGGTTCTGAGATCTGCACACACACACACACTTCTGTCCCAAGAGTGGACACCTAAAATTATTTACATTGGGAAAACATCACAGAACACATGTGGAAAGAAGAAAAAAAACCCAACAAACAACCCCTAGAAGCAATTCCCTTCAACCCTTGGATGCCCTCCCTGAGAGTTCAAACACCTTCACAGGAGATCAAAAAGCCTTCCAGAGCCAGTAAGCCACACACTGAAACCTGTATGTGGCCAAGGGCCAACAAACTGGGAGAGCCAAGGACAGGGGCTCTCTGGGATCTGGTTCACAGATAAGAGATGGCGATGGCACCAGGGACACACCACAGTGTGGGTGGTGGTTCATCCATTGCAGGGAAGATCTGGATTGCTCAGAAGCCCTCGTGCTAACAAAGCTCTAGTCATGTGTCAGCAGCTCAAGAGCCACCCTGGGGCCCAATTTTTAAAGCCTCAGTCTGCAAGTTTGGGAAGAGCTTTTTGGTAAAGGCTGCATTCGGTAACCTCTGTGAAGGTCACGCATGTGGTAGGCCAAGCCTGCCTCTTGATCCTTGTGCCAACAGCAAGCACCTCTGCACCGTGTGGGGAGGCAGGAACATCCACCCTGCCACTACCAGAGGTAAGCCATGGCAGGAAAGCCTCCCCCAGGCCGCTCCTCCTGAGGCCATTTCAGAGCATCCCCATCCTCTGTAAGGCAGGTACCTATCTCTTGCAGAGGGGCTGTGCGACAGTAATGCAGGACAGGCAGAGATAAGACTTACCAACGGCAGGTAACACTGAAACAGTTAAAGATATTTACAGATCTGGTCTGAAAACCTGGCAGAGGCCTTAAGAACAGCCCATTCCCAAAGCCAAATAAAACTGGTGGTGCTGCTGAGTTTCTCACAGCTAACTGCAGCCAGCGCCTCTGGGTTCATCCCGCTGTCAATAGCCTGTTGTAAGGTACAGTTAAGTATGCATTTGTTTTCTAAAGGTGCAGCCTGATTAGGACACACGGGCAAGTCTGCATAACACCAGTACTAGTGCAGATGGCTTTCTA